CCCCCAGTGCCCCCCACTACCCCCCTCAATGCCTCAGCCCACCCTCCCGGGGCACCTGCCTGGGAAAGGGGGCACCACCAGCCTCGGGCCTTTGATGTTACCATCATCACTGAGGTACTGGGGGGCAGGGGCTGAGAGGAGCCTGGGTTAGAGACCCTGGCGGGGGCTGGGGGAGGGACCCCCCGGGGGGCAGAGGGCTGGAGGGAAGTGGGGAGGGGGAATCCCTCTGGATCACAGACCCACAGAGGGGCAGGGGCTGGGGAACCCCCCTGGATTAGAGACCCCGCAAAGTGCACGGAGCCTGGACGGGGTGGGGAGAGAGGCTTGGGGCAGTCTGGAGGAGACCCCCATTCCCTGGATCACAGATTTTCCCGGGGGTTGGAGAGGGGTGAGGAGGGGGGCAGAGGGGCTGGAGCAACCATTCATCTCTCTGGCAGTGGGACCTGGTGTGTGATCGGGGGCCGCTGCCAGCACTGGCCCAGACCCTCTTCATGGCGGGCGTCCTGCTGGGAGCCTTCATTTTCGGGACCTTGTCGGACAGGTTGGTGCCGGAAAGCTGGGACTCCTCAAACTGCACCCCACCTTCCTCTCGGGCCAGCCGGACCCATATTGCCCAGGGCTGTATGAGGGGAGGATGCAGCTGGCTCTGGGGAGGGACCTTGTGAGAGAGGTGGCTGGATGCGGGGATTGGGGTTGGACACACTAGTGAGATGCAGCTAGCTCTGGGGTGTAACGTGATTGATGTAGCTGGCTCTGGGCTGGGACATGGTGGGCTGTGGCTGGCTCAGGGGCTAGGCGGGGTGGGAGGGAATGGAGAAGGGGGTGGGATTGGTGAGGGACTATGGTGTGGGACGTTGTGGGGCGGTGCGGCTGGCTCTGGGGTGCGATATGGGGGGCCCTGGCGTGGGTAGCAAGGGTGAGATGTTGCTGGCTCTGGGATGTGATGCAGGCAGGTGCTGCTGGGTCTAGAGTGGGGAGCTGTGGCTCACTCTGGGGTGGGACATGGGGAGCTGTGTCTGCACCTGGCTCTGGGTCATGACCTCCCCCTCTACCCTAGGGTGGGACGCCGGTGGGTGCTGCTGTCCTCCCTGCTGATAGTGGGGGCTGGAGGCACGGGGGCAGCACTGGCCCCTGACTTCACCACCTACTGCGTGTGCCGAACCCTGAGCGGTATCGGCTTGGCCGGATTCCTGATCAACTACATCGGTCTCAGTAAGCACTGGGGGGGTTGCAATTCTGGCCCAATCCTGGGGTGGGGGCATGGGCTGGGGGGCTGTTCGCCTAGGGGCACTGATGCTTGGTCAGGGGCTGGGGTCAGGAGAGCAGGGGCATGTCCCTCCTATGGGTCCCAATCCAGACCTGATCCTGGGACCACTGGCTGGAGAGGCGGGGCAGTGATCTGTACCCCTCTATGGGCCCTGAGCTGGCCCAGTCCTAGGAGCACTGGATCAGGCAGGGAGCAGGGGGCTGTCCCCTCTTTGGGCCCCAATCCAGGCAGGGGGGCACTGGCTGGGGCAGAGGGGGCAGGGGCTGTCGTCCTCTGTGGGCCCTGACCTGGGCCTGACCCAGGCACGCTAGCTGGGGTGGGAGATCCAGGGGTCTATTTCCCCAGGGACCCCAATCCTTGGGGCACTGCCTGGGGAGGGGGGCAGAGGCCTGTCCCCTTTGTGGGTGCAAAGCTGGGCCTCATCCTGGTGCCACTGGCTGGAGTGGAGGGGTAGGGGGCTGTTCCCTCTTTGCACCCCTATCTGGGCGCTGTCCTGGGGGCACTGGCTGGAGGGAGTCCCAATTTGGATCCACCGCTGTGGCACTGGCTGGAGTGGGGGAGGCAGGGCCAGGGACCCATCCCCTTTATGGGCCCTAATTTGGGCCCAATCCTGGGAGCTCCAATCCAGCCCAGCCAGGCTGGGAGGGGGCTGGAGAGGGTGGGCCCTGTCGTGACATGAGCATGCAGGGTCTCAGCCCCCATACCCCTGTCCTCCCCAGGCCTGGAGTGGGTGCCGCGGGGGGCGCGCGCAGGCGTGGTGACCTGGCTCAGCTACTGCAGCACGGCCGGGCAGCTGGTCCTGGCTGGCCTCGCCTACAGCATGCGGGACTGGCGCCACTTGCAGCTGGCCATCTCTGCCCCATTCCTGGCCTTCGTGCTCAGTGCCTGGTGAGTGCCCCGGGGGCCTGGGTCCCGCGCCCGCTTTGGGACCCGGACACCGGGGGTCCATTCCTGGGATGCCTCGCTTGCCTCCTTATTCGGAAGCCTGGTTGCATGCGTTTCATCCACGATGGGAGCCCAGAGGCCTGGGGTCTCTGGGAGGGGACTGGCAGCTGGGGACAGAGCAGGGGGTGGGGGGGCTGGTTTCCATCACCAGACACCTGGTTTCCATCTGGCTCTGGGAGCACAGGGCGGGCTGGGGAGCCAGAACCCCTGGGCTCTCTCCAAAACCAAATCCAACCCTCCCCCTCTGCAGCCCCTGTGCCTCAGTTTACCCCATGAGTCTGCATCAGTGACTCCCAGAGTCATTAGGCTTCCTCCCCGCTCCCCTCCTCTAAGCCTCCCCCTTCCGCCAGGTGGGTCCCTGAGTCTGCACGGTGGCTGCTGGTCCAGGGCCGGACCAAGGAGGCACTGAGGAACCTGCAGCGGGTTGCCCGCATCAATGGCAGAACCGCGGCAGGGGAGGGGCTGAGCCTGGAGGTGAGCGGGGAGCGGGGTCAGGAACTTGGACTCCTGGCTTCTCTGGGAGGGGATGGGGCTGGGGGATTAAGCAGGGCAGGCTGGGGGCCTGGACACCTGGGTTGTCTGCGGGGTTCAAGCAGGGGGGTGAGAGCCCAGATGCCGGGGTGCCCTGGGGGGGAGTGGGGCTGGAAGCCTAGATGCTTGGGTTCTCTGGGTGCAGAAGGGCTTGGGGGGTTGAGAAAAGGGTCTTCCCTGCTCCTGATCCCCCACATTTCCTCCCCAGGTGCTGGTGCAGGAGGGAAGCTACAGCTCCACGGGACGAAGCACTGGGTCCTGGCTGGGGCTATTCCTGTCCCCGGCTCTGCGCCGCATCTCCTGCTGCCTCATGTGTGTCAGGTAGGAAGGACGGACAGACGGTGCGGGGCGGCAGGGCGGTGAGGGAGGGTCACAGAAAAGGCAGCTCCAGCTGTGTCACTGTCGCCTGGATGGATGGAGACTTTCAGCTCTTCATCCTTCCATCCCTCCCTTCATCCTTCCACCTGTCCACGCGCAGCCCTTTCTGAGATGGATGGATGGATGGATGGATGGATGGACAGAAGGATGGCGCTGTGCTGACCCCTGACCCTACCCTCTGACCCCCATCCTTACCCCTGACCCACCCACTGACCCTCACACCCTCTTAACCTGGTCCCTACCCTCTGACCCCATGTCCTCTGATCCCGCAGCTTCTCCACCAACCTGGCCTACTTTGGGTTGTCCATGGACTTGGGGTCCTTTGGCCTTAACGTCTTCCTGGTGCAGCTCTGCTTCGGGGCCGTGGACTTGGGGGCCAAGGCGGCCTGTGCCCTGGCCCTGAGCCGCTGCGGCCGCCGGCCTGTCCAGGCCCTTTCCCTCAGCGTGGCTGGTGCCTGCTTGCTGGCCAGCACCCCCCTGCCTGCCGGTGAGCCGGGGATGCCCGGGTTCCCTGCAGCCCTGGGAGGTGTGGGGGTCCTGCAGTGGGGCCCGACAGCCCGGATGCCTGGGTGCCTCGGGACCTGCGAGGGGAGTGGGGCTAAAGGGTTAGAGAAGTGGGGGCTGCATGTGCGGACACCTAGCTTCCCTGCAGCTCTGGGAAGGGAGTGGGGAACGGGCAGGTTAGAGCAGGCAGTAAGCTGGGAGCCCAGACACCTGGGTCCTCTCCCACCTGCAGACCGCTATGAACTCCTCCCCATGCCTCAGTTTCCCCTCTGCAGTACAGCGTTTCCTCTCCTCCTTACGGTTTCTTTCTGCCTCCTCCCCCCACTCCAGAGATGCTGATGGTCCGGCTAGCCCTCGTGGTGCTGGGAAAAGGCTTCCTGGCGGCAGCGTCTGTCTGCTCCTACCTCTATGGGGGAGAGCTCTTCCCCACCGTTGTCAGGTGAGGCCAATACCCCCCGGGGCCTCCCCAGATCCAGCCACATCCAAGGGAGGGGCCCCATATCCCTAGCCCCGATGCCCCCACCACCACCTGCAGCATCAGCTGCATGTGTTATGCTCAGCTGCTGACACATCCTACCCCAGAAGTAGCTGCATCCCAATGCCTGACTTGCTATCTGCAGCCCCCACTGTCCCACACCAGATGTGGCTGCATCTGTTACACTCAGCCACTGGCACAGCCCCACCCCAGAGCCAGCTGCAGCACAGACCTGTATTCCCAATCCCAGTGCCCACTCCAGAATTGGCTGCATCCCAGCAAGAGTCTCTGTGACCCCAGCCCCGATGCCCTCCCCCAGTATCAGCTGCATCCCAGTGAGAGGCCTTGTATGCCTAGCCCTGATTGTACCCCACCACAAGTGGCTGCCTCTGAGCCTCGTGTCCCTCCTGCAGGCAGACGGGCACAGGGCTCATGACTGTGGTGGCCCGCCTCGGGGGTATGGTGGCTCCGCTGGTGCTGGTGGGTGGCCAGTACCACTCGGTCCTGCCACCTCTTGTCTTTGGGGTGACACCCGTCCTGGCCGGCGCAGCTGCCTGCTTCCTGCCTGAGATGCGGGATGTCCCGCTGATGGACACCATCGAGCAGGTGGAGGAGAGGTGAGGTAGGGGAGAGGCTGCGCCCAGACCTCTCTCCTGGCTGCCTTCTCCTTTAAAATGACTTCTCCTCCCCTTTAACACCTCCCCTTCCCTTTAAGTTGCCCTTCCCCTTTAAATCAGGAGTACCTTCCCTGTGTCTTTCTCCTCCCCTTTAACAGCTCTCCTCCCCTTTAACTCTGGCTCTCTCACTTTAAGTCAGAGGCTCCTCCTTGCCTTTAATAAGAGTCTGTCCCTCCTGCCTTAAGTGCCTCTCCTCCCCTTTAAATGTGGGTGCCCCGCCCCTTTTAAATCTGGCCTCCTACTCCCCTTTAAAAATGCCCCTCCCTCCCCTTAAGGCAGTTTTGCCGCCTTCCTTTCCCCTCCCCTTTGAACTCAGGGTCCTGTTCACCTTTAATTCTCCCCTCCCCTTTAAACCCTGGGCTCCCGCCCCTCTTTAACCCTGTGCTGCCCTGTCTTGTCCCCAGGGCCAGGCGTAAGGGACCCGAGCCCGTGGTGGAGGTCGTCTCCGTCTCCCACATCATCCGCTCCACCCGGATCTGAGCCCTGCACAAGGGGGGCAGCTCCGGCCCCCGCTCTGCTGGGACACACGGGACCCCCTACAGGCCGGTGCCACCCCTCGGGGTAGAGGTCAATGGCCTGCGGGGTGGGACGTGGAGCTGGCGCCCGCCCCCATGGAGACGGGTACAACCCTAAGGGGGTTGTGGACTGGTGTCAACCCCCCCATGGCGCAAGGTGGGCCTTGAATGCGCCCCCACCGTGGAGAAGAAGCGGTGCGACCCCCCCCCACCCAAAGGTGAGGCTGCGGAGGGGCACCTCCCAGCCCTGGGGTGCATCTGGCACGACTCAACCTGGCTCTCGGGCAGAGCCTGGGCATTAACACCCTCCCTTCGCGGAGGAAGATGGAACGATTCTTCCCCCCGCCGCAACGGGGGCTGGAGTTACACTGTACAAACCTCTGCACCCTAAAGTGTGGGGGGCTCTGGACTTGAACCGGCCGCTGGAGGGGTGCGGAGCGGCACAACTCTCGCCCCCGTGCAGCCAGAGGCTGGCGGCTGTCACCCTCAGGGAAAACCCGGCATATCCCCCCTTCCTCCACACTGCAGCCGTGATGTGGCTGGCTCAGGGTGGAGCGCCGGGGGTACTTCCATGCACCCTCGCTCCCTCCAGTCCTGCTGCTGCCTTTTGTAAATAAAGTTGTATTTAAAACAAAAAAACCAACAACTCTCCAAACCCTGGGTGGTGCCTCCCTGTTCTTGCCTCCCCCTGGGTCGCCCTGGCTGCATGGCAGGGTGCAGGGCTCAGGAGCTGCATCGTGCATGGCTGGGCCTGGGGCCCCCCATGCTCCTGTGGGCTTCCTATGTGTGTGTTGTCATGGGGGGAGAGGGGATAAACACAGGCCCCAACCATCCCTGGGCTGGTGGTGACCCTGATGGCAATCCCTGAAACCCCAACCCCAATCGGCTTTGGGCCAGCCCCCGCTGGGGGGGTGGGCTGGGGGCAAGGGGGGCCCCTGATGGCAATCCCTGAACCCCCACCCCCAATCGGCTTGGGGCCAGCCCCTGCTGGTGGGTTGGCATGGAGCAAAGGAAGCAGCTGGGGAAGCCAGGGGGTCGCATGGAGGCACAGCTGGGCAGGGTGCACCCTGGCCGTCAGGCCCTGCTGCCACGTCCCTGTGGTTCTTGCCCGGGTCCAGTGAACCGCTGAACATCCGTGGGGAAGCCCCTTTCCTGGACACATGCATCAGCCCCTTGCTGGGCAAAGAGAGCTCGCAGGGGCATGGGAAAGGGGTGAAACACGGCTTCTTAGAGCATCCATCCGATCATTGATTGTCACCGTGGTAAGACTACCAGGTCCGACCAAGTGAAAGGTTGTTCCTGCTGGGTGCTGTGCACACGTGCAGCAAGAAAAATCAGGGGCCCTCAACCTGGGTGCAGCCAGGGACAGAGATGAGAGCCCTGCCCCACCCCAGCCACCCGGGTATAAACACCGCAGCCTCCCATGGCACACATAGAGAATTGAGCTTCTCGCCCCGAACGCAAGACAGCCATGCGGGCACCTAGGTCCAGGCCCTGCGCTTCATCTGGTCCTCCTGCTGGGGCAGGGGCTCCTCCCTGGGGACCCAACGTGGCTCGTCCTGAGGCTCTGGGGTTTCATCCTGCCCTGCCTCCTTCAGGGGCATGGCCACAGGACGGGGTTGTGACTGTTCCAGCCAGGATTTAAGATATTCCCACAATGCCCCAGTGGGCACCGTCTTGTCCGATGACATATCCTCAACCTTCACGTGCACGGGGACCTGGGGACAAGGCAAATGTGTCACTTGGGGAGCCAGGAACTGGGAGAGGCAGTGGTGGGAGGAACCATGTTCAAGACACATGAAGATGGGGACAGTACCTGGAGCTTCTCATCCTCCACCGGCCTTGGGTGGCCATCCTAGAGGACAGCCCGGTTGTCCTCTGTCCTGTATTGATACGAAACCGGATGCAATTGATGTCCTCTTGAAGAGAAAAATAGTACTTATAAAGGCTTCCGGCTTTGTATCAATAGAGGACAGAGTAGCAGAAAACTGGAATGTCCTCTATGACGGCCACCCCACTGTCATTGTCAGCGAAATGGGTCGGCATCTGGCTGGGGTCATCTGGCCCCAGTGCTCTTCCCTGCCTAGGCAGGGGGTCGGACTCGATGATCCGTTGAGGTCCCTTCCAAGCCCAGCATCTATGAAAAGTTTTGGGTTATTTTGGGCAAGCATTTCTGGAAACAAGCACCTCCACCAGCGATGCCTGGGGAAAGCCCAAACATTTCCGTGCCCAAAGGGAATTTGCCCTCCAGCACGGCAGGGGATCCTCGGGGAAATGAGAAGGCGGGTGTCACCAGAGACGTTCAGCACCTTTGATCTCCTCGCTCTCGCCTACAACCCTGGGCCGAGCGGTTCGCCCACAACCTTCCCTGTGCTGATCCCCCTCCTGAGCGCTGGGAGCCAGGCCGTCCCGGGGTCTCTTCCTCCTGGAGACGAGTCGGAGCGAGGGCTTGACAGCGAGAGGAGTTGCTCCCGAGATACACCTGGTGTTGGCCAAGCAAGGCAGTGGGGGCAGCTGGGTCCCACCGGGGGCATCGGCTGGGGGGGGGGGGGGGGGGTCTGTGCGCTCTGGGGACAGCAAAAAGGTGCAGCCACATGGCTGTAGGACAGTGAGGGGTTTGGGGCTGTGGAGCCTGCAAGGGAAAGTGGGGGCAGGGAGCTGTGGCCCATGTGGATGCTGCTGGGGGGTGCTCTGGGGCTGTGGGGGAGTGTGGAGGAGCCAGGCTGGAGAGTCAGGATGGGCCCTACGGGGCTGAGAGCCAGGCAGGGTCCTGCTGGGACCGGGCAGTGCACTGGGGGTGTGGGTCGCATGCGGCTGGGCGGTGCAAGGGGGTGTTGTGCAGCTGGGTGGGAAGCCACACGGGGCTGGTGGCACCCAGGGACTATGGGGGCAGTTCTTGGAGCCGGCCCACTCCCCGCACCCTGTGTCTGGGCTGGGTGGGGGCGTGGAGATGGGAAAGTGGGTTGTGGTCCTGCCTCTGCCTTCACAAGATAAAGTGTGTGTTGTCTCCTTTCCCACAGACACCCCAGGGGACAAGACACTGCCAATGGGCCCCGCATGGTAGTGGTGGGAGAGCGAGAGGTGGGCAGAGGTGTCCCCTGGCAGCAACCATGGCTGTTGAGCTGGGACCAGTGCAGACCTTGGGCCCCGTTTCCAGCACTAGCACCGGCCTTGGTGACCCCACAGCTGCCAGCGCTGGCACAAGGCAATGACCCCCCCACCCCAGAGACGTGGCGCCGGTGCTTCCAGGGCTTCCGCTACCAGTACGCCAAGGGGACACAGAGGGTTGCAGCCGCCTGCGGGAGCTGTGCCAACGCTGGCTGGAGCCCCAGCGCCGCAGCAAGGAGCAGATGCTGGAGCTGGTGGTGCTGGGGCAGTTCCTGGCCATCCTGCCCCAGGAGATGTGGAGCTGGCAGCGGGGATGCAGCTGGAGACCTGTGCCGAGGCGGTGACCCTGGCCGAAGGGTTTCAGCTGGGGCAGGAGGAGGAGGAGAAGCTCCAGGTGAGAGCATTTTACCCTGATCTTTCATGCTGCCATCCCCATCTTCACGTGTCTGGGGATTGTTCCCTCTTACTCTGGGGTCTTCCTGTTCCTGGTTCCCCAGTGACATATTTGGCTTGCCCCAGGTCACGGTACGTGTGAAGATCAAGGGGGTGTCTTCAGACAAGATGGGGCCCACTGAGGCATTGTGGAAACCTGTTGATTCCTGGCTGGAGCAACCACAGCCCCATCCTACGGACATGCCCCAGGAGGAGGCGGTATGGGATACAACACCAGAGCCCCTGGATGAGCTGCTTCACGTCCCCAGAGAGGCGGACATACCCCAGCAGGAGTCGGGTAATGGGCTGCATACAAGGCAGGGCCTGTGTTTGGGTGCCTGAGCTGTTATTCTGCACTGGGGATGAGAGACTCAAATATCACTCCAACCTGGATCCCGAGTGACAGGGATCATATCTTTACTAGTGCGTGGTTCAGGTGGGACAGGGCGCTGATCTCTGCTACTTAACAGCACTCAAATTGAGGGCCCCTGACCTTTCTCTCGGCATGTGTGCAGCACCCAGCAGAAAGCTCCTTCACCTTGGTTTGGCCATGTCGTGCCACCATGGGAGTAATTCATGACTGCGTTTCAGTTGCCCCACTCCTGTGCCCCTGTAGCCCTCGGTGCTCCAGAATGGGCTTGTGTAGGCGTCTGGAGAACTGGGTTTAACCAGTGACTTCCCTGGTTCACGTACGGTTAAGAGGCCTCCTTCCTCCCGCAGGTTCCCCTTACACGGAGGAAACTTGGGGTTCATTGGCACATGACAGCTCCTTAGGCGTGTGCCCTGAACAAGACTCTTCCTCAGGGGCACGTAAGGAGCAGCTGTTCTGGTCTTTCCAGTTATGAGAGGCCCCATCATGGGAATAGCAGGGATCTTCCTCTGCCAGCGCCACCAGGTTTCACATGTGGATTCCCTTCCCCACCCCGCAGGTGCAGGGATGCTGAGCAAGGCTGAGCAGCGGGTTCCCAAGGAAGGTCGTGCCAACCTGAGCTCCTGAGGACTTCCCCAGGGAGACCAAGGGAGAGGGGCTTTCTGAAACCTCAGCCGGGCCAACTGTAGAAGAGGCGGGGCAGACATCCCAAGCAGAGGGAGAGCACGGAGGTGAGCAAGGGACCACGTGGAGTTGGGTGTGGGGGTGCAGCTGAGACTAGAAGGAGTGCAGGGAGGAATTTGAGGAGCCTGGAGCCTAGAAGACAAACAAGCAGACGGTTCGCAGGAGGTCATCTAGTCCAACCCCCTGCTCAAAGGACCGTCCTCAACTAAATGGCTCCAGCTAGGGCTTAAAAGCCTCTAAGGATGGCGATCCTACCAGCTCCTAGTGAGAGAGTTTTTTCTAATATCCAGCCTAACCTTCCCTTGCTGCATCCTGGTGCATCTGCCCATGCAGACAGCCCCAAATCATTTGGGTTCCTGTCCATGTCTGACTGTCTAGCACACAGACTTCCACGTTCCCCAACCAGGGGGAGCAGATAGGGGGTCAATCTCCACAAGGCCAACAACGGGTGTTGCAGTGACTTGGGACCCTAACGAGCCACTGACCCCATCACTGGGGGATGCTGAGTGCCGCTAAACACTGTGAGAGACCAGCACCTGGCTGGAACCCCCCGCCCCCACCTTTACTGGGCTAAGCACCAGGGCAGGGCAATCACCCAGAGAGGAAACTGCTTCCACCCATGGCCAGCCCTCACCAGCACAACGCCCCATCACTGCAGCCCCTTAACAGGGCTTCTTTAGGGAACAAACTACCCCGTTACACGTCTCTGGAGCAGAGTGGCAACCCTTGTCAGCAAGGAGCTGCAAGGCTCCCTGGGCAGGCCTTCCTCCCCAATACTGGCTGCTTTAGCTGGCATAGGCAGTAGAGCCCCCAGACAGCCGCCCTGGGCGAGTCTCCCCTCTCAGCTAGGCGTTTGCTCCCCTGGGTTGGTGTCCAGTGGCTGCGGTTGTGAACCGTTTTGGATTTCAGTTCAATTTAATATAGTTCACATTTCCTTTCAAGCCATGTTTTTGCTTCCTATCCCCCTGCAATAAGCCCCATTTAGTTCAACATTTTTTTTGAGACTAGGGAAGATTCTTCATATTAGAACAACCCGTTAAAATGTAC